CTAACACCCTAACACCCTAACACCCTAACACCCTAACACCCTAACACCCTAACACCCTAACACCCTAACACCCTAACCACTAGCAATGTCTATGAGAGTAAAGTTCGTAATTTATTATGCAAGTACAGTTTTTGAGCATATTATTCTTCGAAAAATGAATTCTAATTTATATAATGAAATAATAAAATACAAAATACTCAATTTAAGGAGAGTAGGTAATATGGGCCCATCTGGTACAAATTTACCACATGATAGTTCCTTGGGAGAAAATACTTTCAAAACTTGTTATAATATAAATAAATGTTTACTAAATTTCCATCCTTTAGTTTATCTTTAATAGACGCTACCTATATTAACAATTTTTGAGAAACTCGAAGGTAATATATTGTACAAAATTCGAGCTCACATAGCGATAACGAGATTCTAATCTACGTTTCTTCCTCTTCTGTTTCCTTGATGTACCCGTAATCCAGTTAGAAAATTCACAAGCTAAGTGCCAACGATGTTCACTGATCATGAAAGAAGGTAATGCGCTTGGAAAAAAAATTTTTGGATGGATCTCGAAACCTTCTTTTAGTGTACGCAACTGGTGGTTAGTTCCCCCCACAACCATACCAAAATCATTGAAAGCGGCTCCATTAAAATAAACTGGGTATTCTGGATCCTTGTCAATTGGTAAATTGGCAGAATTATTGTAATTAATGCCGAAATGACTGGATAATATCGCTCCTCCTGTAGTCTCAATAACCTCTTGACCGTCAGCAAATGCTTTACCAAGTAAATAATGATCTGGGCATGCTATGAGCATGGCTAATTCGTCATTTTCCTGAACCTTTGACGTGTACCATTTAGCAAAGCCTTCAGCTGTACCTTTATTACTAACTAAGTGAATTTCACTAATAGCCCAACTTTTCAGTATTGATGCTGCAACCATCATAATAATGCTAGATATAGCTAATTGAGGTGCATTCAATTGACGCATAACAAAATTACCACTTCGAATTTTGGCATCAGCCAAAGCTTGACGTTCCTGAGTAATATTTTCAATAGATGTCTCAGGTCTCAACGTCAAATCTACTATCTCTTCGAATAACCATGTTGGAACCTTGTGTTTCATCTTATTTACAACAATTTGGATACGACGAGCTTCCCATTCTAAGACGGAATCACGGTTTACCTGAGTACCATTAATAAATGCGGATATATTTAAGCCTTGTACCGGAGATAAAGTACCATTATCCGCATTTCTCTTAGTTAGACGCAAAGAATTATTACTGGAAATTTGGTCACTATCTATTTCCTGGAGTTCTGATCTCTGTATATTTATAGACTGACTGTTGATAGAAGATGCAGCTGCAATGGCCATGATAATAGTATTAATGAGCTTCATTGTGATGATATTAGAATTTAATTAATCAGAATGAAATATATTGGGATATATGGGGGCATATATACTCTCCTCCTTCTCGGAACGTAGATCAATTTATAGATATAAAGTTAATTCATAGATTCAAAGTTAATTCATAAATTGAATTTTACTATTTAGGGTAAAAAGATAACTTTTGCTTACGAAATTGGGGTATTTTTTATTTCTTTTTGAGTTAAAAAAAATTATACAATGTTCTTTTATATACAGTACATATCGATAATATAGTTCGTGTGAATAATCACATTCGTTTTCAAAATACTGTCTCCGTCTCACCACCGAAGTTTTCGCTCATCGTACAGATCCCATCCTAGCATTTTACTACAGCTGTCTCTCAAGATAGAGAATCAATTTCCTTAAAAATTGTACTAAGTTGTATTTTCGTATCATATATCCTTCAGGTAATTCCTTCTGTTAAACTCTTTGCCGCAACACCGATTCTTCATGCACTGGAATAACATTCAAGAAATCCGAACCTCCTAATTTTAACTCCATGCATTTGCTACTTCATCCCCAAGTGTAATATACACACACCAACATTCACTTTAACAAAGAAGTACCAAACTTAAAGTAAATAAGTTTATTGTCTCTCAACTCATTCTTAAAAACTGAACTATCTCAATAAACATTTTTTAAATACTCCATAGTTAAAAGTTATAAAAAACTTGACGCATCAAAAATGAGCCTAAATACATAGGCATTGTATATGCAGTATCATTGATACGGGAAATGATAAGGCACACTTCTCATAATATTGCTATTACAGCACGTAGATCAATAATTTTTAAGAATAATGCTCAAGCTTATCTTGTGTAGGGTCGATGATCCATGCTGCTGAAATTATTTTTAAGAGAACACTTTTATTAGAACAATTTTAGTTTTTATGTCCGATATATACTAATTTATCTCTCATTTTCTCAGTTACCAATTATTATCCTAAACAATTCAAACTTGCAGCGAAATGAAATAATAAAAACGAAAGAAAAGATAGCACAAAAATGACCACTTAATTTTCAAAGCTTGTTTCAATACATAGATAAGTTGTGAAGAGATTTACTTAGACAAAATATGAAAACTTGAAGTCACAGAATCTCCTAATCCCTCATATGGAAAACAATTTTATTCTACTTCGGTTGCGGCCATATCTAGCAGAAAGCACCGTTTCCCGTCCGATCAACTGTAGTTAAGCTGCTAAGAGCGAGACCGAGTAGTGTAGTGGGAGACCATACGCGAAACTCTCGTGCTGCAATCTTTTTTTTCTTACATTTTTTTCTTACATTTTTCAGTTAATAGTAGATTCAAGTTATAACTCTCTCTTGCAACATTATATTCTATCACTATAAACACTTGCATTTCGGTGAATGATTTGTTATACTTAGAAATTACTCAATTTCTGAATTGCAAATATTCACTGCTACGTATTCGGAAGGTGAAATTTTTTTGGATGCCAGGCTCTTTAGTCTATTGAATATATTTATGAAGAATGTCTCATTTCATATTTACAATTCTATTGGATTTATATTAGAATAGTTGTGAAGTCGAAGATAAAATTCACCAGTGAATGACATGCAGCTAGCTATTCGTTAATGTACTCTTTTAAATAGAGAGAATCGAACTGGAGTGAGTCCTGGGGCTCTTCAATGTCTGTGGTACTTGAATACTCGTTTCTTCTAAAAAGCTAGTGTACGATAAATGTTCTTGATGGAGTACTTGAGGTCAATATAGGTGATAGGTAACACAATGCTCTTATTTGATTGGCAATTTATTGGGTGACACTTGAATTACCAAAATTACAATCTACTATAGTGATGAAGACGAGGAATATGAACTATCACTTCCAGATACAACAACAGACAATTGATGAAAACACCTGCGGTGGCGGTTGGTGAAATTGAGCTCGAATCAGCTATCTAGGACATACATTACTAAGAATTCTGACAACAGCAGAATCGGGAACTCCTTCAAACACGTCAAAGGTATATGTGGTGATAATCTTAGCCCATGCACCCTTAAAAAAATACTTTTAGGAGTTGTTTAAGCAAACTATATTCTACGACTATTCATCATTGGGCTATGCTCAATAAATGAAATTAGTGATACAACCTTTCAATGTGGTTACGTGCCGTGGAGTCTATTGATAATGAAAATAGAAGATTTATGGTTTTTGACTTTTTTTTTATTGAAATTAATTATATATGAAAAATGTTTCAACTCAGTTATGTCATATCATTTGAAGGAGTTTGGTTAAGAGACCGAAAATACAATTCACGAAGAAATTTAAAGCAGCTGACTATTTAATAATCTACTCCTTTAAAGAAAAAAATTAATAGACAAAAGATATATAAAAGGGAAACTGGGGGTTTAATTTCAAAATGCTATCATTTGAACAATGTGAGCCATAAAAATAACGCTCAATGGAATGTTAAAAGCTGTATTTGCTTTACCTTCAGAGACAGCAGCTATCATTGGCAATGAAGTGGAACTGGACGAAGTAGGACTGATCAGAGGTCCTTCAATGTGTGTGGTACTTGCCCTAGTTGTAGTAGTTAAAGTAACTGCTTCAGAATCTGAACGTGGAGGAGCAGATGTGATGAGGATTTCTATACTGATGTAGGTAGTTTCTTCTGATTCACTTAGGGTAGTCTCATATGACAAGGGACAATACGTAGTATACTCCGTGACTTCATCATCGGTAGTAAAAGTGACAACAGTGATTCCTGTAGTAACTGGAGTGGTAGTACACTTACTGTCTTCACAAGAAGTGATAGTGATCACGGCAGTCGATATATCAGTTTTGGTTTTGCTTACTGTACTCTCTCTTCCTGAAGAAGAGGAAGAGGTAGAAAACAGTGCTAAAACTTTTTCAGATGAAGTACTTGTGGACAAGGTAGCTGACAAGATTTGAGTACTTGATTGCCTGCTTGATGTAACAACGCTTGAATTGCCATAATAAATGGAGCTAGATACTGCTGAGCTAGATACTGCTGAGCTAGATAGTGCTGAGCTTGAGACTGCTGAGCTAGATACTGCTGA